CAGTCCCAAATAAATACACAGGAGGCTATATTAATTATGAAGCTGTTGGCCTTGCTTGTTTCTTACTGGCTTGCTCTGACTTAAGTAATTACCCCATAATTGTTAATCTAAGTATGTCTCTTACCAGAGAATAGTTCTGGGCTCCTACCCCATGGCATTACATCTCAAAGTCTCCTGTGTTTCTCCTTCCCAGAATCCTCCTGGATTCCTAGCCCCACCTATCTAGATTCCTATTGGCCAGACAGTGCTTTATTGACATATACACAGGACTTCCCCAACAGAGGAGGCGATGGGAGATGTTATTCTGTTTCTCTTATTGGTTGATGAATAAAACACTGATTGGTCAGGTAGGAAGATAGACAGGGCTAGGAGAGGGGGAGGATTCTGGGAAAGGTAGGCAGAGTGAGGTGCCAGAGAAGTAACATCATGCTGGGCATTACCAGGCAAACCACAGCCTCATGGCGATACATAGATTGATAGAAATGGGTTAATAATTAACACAGAGCTAGCCAATAGGAAGCCCTAGTCATTGGCTAATAGTTTCATAATTAATATAGCATCTGTGTGTTCATTTGGGGCTCAAATGCCACAGGACCTGTTGGGCCAGAAAACTCATGCTAACAGTGAAGGGATGGATTTACTAGACAAGGCAAGAGCAAGCAGGCGAAGAGTGGAAGCTTCCTTCCTGCATGTCCTTATATAGACTTCCAGCAGGTAAAGAGTGGAAGCTTCCTTCCTCCATGTCCTTATATAGACTTCCAGCAGGTGTGATCCAGATCACAGGTGTGACATCCCATCTCAAAGATCTGATCATCTCACTTCAAATGATTTAACTGAGCAAAAAACAAAAAAAATCCCTCACAGCTGTGCCTGACCACTTTTGGTTTTAGTTAATTCCAGAGTAGTTAAGTTGACAACCAAAATAGCCATCAAAAATAAGTTCTGAGAATGGTCTGAATGCAATGTGTCAAATGTGCAAACATAGTGTGTATGTGCAAGTGTGTATGCGTGAGTTCATAGACGGTATGGGTCAGTCACAACATATGGCCTCTGATACAAACAGAAGACACAGTAAACATGAACTGTGTAGAGTCGATGCTGGAATAATGCCGCTCACTTTGGCATACTTTGCCTTTTTAAATTTATTCTTTGAAAATTACATGCATGTATACAGCATATATTTCTTTTTCCTCAGACAGAGCCCCACTGTTTAGTCCTGGCTGGGCTGGATCTCCCAGATATCCACGTGCCTCTGACTTTCAAGTGCTAGGACCCAAGACATGAGCCACCAGGTTTACAATCCAGTCTATATATCTGTATCTGTCTCTACCATCTATACCCTTCCTTTCTTTAAAATTGATGGTCTCTTTTTTTTACACATACACACACACACACACACACACCTGTGTTTACATACATATCCCTAAACACATACATACTACCTGCCCAGTCTATATAGTGTTACTTACATTTATGTTTTCAGGGACGACCATTTGTTATTAGATAACTAGTTGGGACACTCTTCCCTAGGGAAGACTATTTCTCTCTCTCAGAATTCCTTAGTTCCCTGGAGGTGTGGGGGTTGCATTGTAGATGTATCCACTGGGACTGGGCTCCAGAACTCTGCATTTAGATTGGCTGTTATTTTCTACATTGGTCTCCACCTGCTACAGAGACTCTTCCTTGATGAAGGGTGAGGATCAGACTTATCTGTGGGTCTAAGAACAACGATTCAGAATGTGTTTAGGGGTGATGCTGCTTTAGCAGAGTGGCAGCTGTAGGCTCTCTTCCAAGATTGATGACTCTACTAGCTCCAGGTAGTGGGCGAGTTTCCCGGTAGCCAGCATGATTTTCCTCTTGTTGAGCAGGTTTTAAGTCCAGTTGGAGAGCTGTTGGTGACAAACAAGGTGCGCAGCTCACTGCTGCACCCTCAGGGTTACTGTGCCAGCGCTGGTTGTGGCTCACAGGCATCAGAAGAGCTGGGAAGAACTGCTGGTTGCTTCCCCCTTCTGGAAGCTTGCATGACACCTTCTGGCACAACGAAAGCTAGTCCCCAGGAAGGAGGCTCTCAGGTCCCTTCCAGCACAGCGGCCTCTGGGCCCTGTGTTTATAGTGCACGATGTCTTCAGCAGTAGGGCCTTGACAATGTATCTTGTCCTTCCTTGAGGAAGGACAAATGTGTGCTGGGTTATGGCTCTGGTTCTGGGGTGGAGTTGCTACCCTTTGCTCATGAGTAAGGAGGTGACTTTAAGTGACTTCAGTTCTATGCAGGAGCAGGTGGTTAGCGAGGGAACTGCAGAAGGCAATCAGGGGTGGCAGGGAGGTACAGCCTGTGTACAAATCACACGTGCTGTCTGTGGGATCTTGGGTTATAGCTTTCCAACCTTCTTCCTCCTTTGTAGACCGAGGAAAACCACACTGTCTGAGAAATACTTTGACAGAAGGTGACAGAAGGAGCTGATGGCCCCTCGACTCTGATGGAGCCGTGGAATGGTCCTGATATAGAGATCTGAGCCATACATAAGGTTGGGAGGGCATCACACAGTAACATGAGTCATGCGTGGTATCCCAATCAGTGTCATAGAACAACTTGAGGACAAAGCAGAGGAAGGTCCCTAGGAAACATTTCCTGAAGGTTTCTGTCTTAGTTAGGGTCTTTAATTGCTATGAAGAGACACCATGACCACAGCAACTCATAAAGGAAAACATTTATCTGGGGTAGCTCACTTACAGTTTCAGAGATTCAGTCCATTGTCGTCATGAGGGGGAGCATGGCAGCGTGCAGGCAGACATGGTGCTGGGGAAGGAGCTGAGTCCTGCAGCTTGCAGGTAACAGGAATTGCACTGAGACACTAGAGGTATCCTGAGCATAGGAAACCTCAAAGCCCACCCCCACAGTGACACACTTCCTCCAGCAAGGCCACACCCACTCCAACAAAGCCACACCTCCTCATAGTGCCACTCCCTATGAGATTATGTGGGCCAATTACATTCAAGCTACCTCACGCTTTGCCCACCCCTGGTGTTGAACAGCAGGAATGCAGAATCATCCTGTGACTCTTAGGCTTCTTCAATTGGCCGAAGGCTTTCAAAGACAATATCTGGACCAGTACTGAGAACCTCTCAGATTTTAGGTGTTTCAGTTTCAGTCTAGCTGGAGGACAGAGGTTTCTTCCATGACTGGGAAGAAAATTTCAGATCTTTCCTAAAGGAAGGAACTGGTACTGGTACTGGTGTGGGATCCCCTGAAATCAATAGCTAAGGCAAAGTGAAAGCAAAACAAAACACATAACCCCAAATCACCAAACCAAAACAATAACAAAACGCGCATATAATCAAGACTGCCCTAGGAAAGCATTTAAGTCCTACTTAGAGCCAGCAATGAGCCAGAGAGGAGAGCAGAGCACAGGGTGTGAGGACTTCTGAACCCCTCTTTTTGTCATTCACCTGTTTTCTACCATAGCCAGAAGGCAGGTACAGGTCAAACACACTCTGACAGAGGAATGGCAAAATGTGGACTACACATTACAAAGGCGTATTGAGCCTCAGAAAAGAAATAAATTCTGGCACATGCTACAGAACCTTAAGTGAAATCAGCCAGAGAGGGACAAATCCTGTGGCCAACTCCCAAGAGGAAGAAATGTCTCTCAGGGGCTCTGAGCAGAAAATGGGAGATGCTTTTAATGGGTGCAGTTTCAGAGTTGCAAGGTGAGAAAATTCTCGAGACTGCTTGCTCAGTGTAAATGTAGTTAATACTACTGAACTATGTGGTTAACTGTACTGAACTCTACATGATATAGCACTCGGGAGGCAGAGGCAGGTGGATCTCTGTGAGTTAGAGGCCAGCCTGGTCTACAAAGTGAGTTCCAGGACAGCCAGACCTGTTACACAGGGAAACTCTGTCTTAAGAAAAACAAAAAAACGAAAAGGTAAAAAAAAATGGTGATACTTTTTATGTGATGTGTGTTTCCCACAATGGAAAGAAGTCAACAACAAACTTTCTGTGTTTACCTCTGTACATTTATAAATTTCAGCTACAGGCAAATATGATTTCTTAACCCCTGGTCTCCTGTCCCTTCCTATTCACACAAGGTCTTTGTCCCTATGGTCTCCAGAGAAGGGCTTTGTTTATTAATTATTAGTATTGCTATTGGTATTACTTCTGGCCTACCATTTATTTTAGTTCATACCCAGATGGAGATCTGCTGTATCTCTCCGTTGTTTCTTACTAAGCATATGTTATAGTTGAGCTAATGAACCTGTTGCTGACAAGCAGGGAGAATGGCCTGGCTCCTAAGCGTCACACTAGATTTAGTTGTCACAGAAAACGCCTAATGTGGGAACTGATGAGCTTCCTTAGAACAACCACAGTGCTTCTAACTTCAAAGTATCAGTGCATTAAAAAGACAATTGAACTGAGACTCCATGAGGTTCTGCGAGGAGTCGGAATAAAAGTTGAGTGTGTGGCCTTCAGAAAGAAGGAGCTTTGGTTCAGGCAGCATCAATGGAATAAGCCAGGAGGGGTGGGGTGGAGCAGAGCACACTCCTCGGTCTTGGAAGACTACTGCCCCAATTCTCATAATTTTGGGTTTACAAACAATATCATCTTGATGCAAAAAAAAACAGTCCTCCTTGCCTATAAGAAGACTATTATGCAACAAATGGTCAGTTCCAACCACATTGTCTGCAGCTGGAAAAAAATGTAGTTTTACACTGTGTGTGTGTGTGTGAGAGTGTGTGTGTGCCCTAGGTGTACCCAGCATGCCTTGCCCCCAGGAAACAGTCAATAAATGGTTATTGAATTTAGAGCATCCTTCTTCCCAATCGCTGAGGTTTAATCTATTCCCAATTCAGAATATCTATTAACTTTGCAGCATCACTAAGCCTTTAAAAAATCCATTTGTGGATGCATTTAAAGGCTCCTCAGTAAATATTACTATACCGATTAAGAGAAAGCTGTTAAAGGAAGCATGCCCATTCAACACACCGGTAGCCATTGGTAAAATGTAATTTAATTTAATTATTTAAATTTACATTGTTAATGTACAAGAGCATTTTTTTTCAAACCACAGGTTAGCACACTCTAAAAAGCAATGCTGTTAGAGGAGAAGGGCTTGGGAAACAGCCATTTGAAACAAAAGCAAGGCACTCTCCAATAACAGCGGTAGATTCCCGATTTCCAGCTGAGGGTGGCTTCAGACTGAGACAGCCCTCCCCCACGGGGAGGACTCACCACTCCCCCACTGGGAGGACTCACCTGCTTCAATGCTTGTTCTCCTCAGTGCTAGTGTGCCATCCCCTCTGCCTACACTTGCGTGTCAACATTAAAAAAAAAAACTGGACAGCCAGATGACTTGAGAGGCTCTCATAGTTGTGGTAACTATGGAAGACAGAGGAACACTGGCGATATAGTCTTTCCTTTGAGCACTAGTGTTTGGCCCTGTAACTAAAACAGCTCCGTTATTTCTTCAGATCAGCAGATACGACACCTGGACAGTCCTTTCCCTTCAGTCTGAGGGGTTGACAAAAAAGGAGCAGCATTTCCCTAGAGCGCTGTGCTGCTGTTTTGCTTTGCCTTGCTTTTCAGACAGGACAAAAACAAGGATTAGCCTTCAAATACTCAAGGTGCACAAGAAGGTTATGTATGCTTAGTACTTCTAATTTATTCAAATTCAACTCGAATTTGGTCTGAAGCGGTCCTGTGTGAAATGTTAGCTTTCCTGATATTTAATAATGTTTATTATGTTTGCATATAAGCTCAACAAATTAATGCCAAAGTACTACTTTACTCAAGGCTGTCTGCAGGTAAAATGTTAATATGAGTGACTATGTTTAAGTCTATTTTCCTATGGATGCAGTGAGTTGTGGGGAAGGACTAAGCAAAGGTGAATTAAGCCTTAGTCTCAATTCTGTTGCAGCTGTTTGCCCAGTTTTCTCCATTGTGAATTTCAGGAGATCTGATTAGATGATGAGCCAGGCTCATTCCAAGTCGAAGTTAAAACTCCTAGTATTCCAGGCCCTGTCATCTTGATAGAAAAGTAATACCTTTCATAAAATCCCACACAAAGTACGCGATCAAATAGCAGAATGATTTGGAAAAAAAAAGAAAGGATATGATTTGTTATCTGGGTTATACTTTGCAGCAATTAAGCAATTCATTTGGCATTTGTTTGGTTGTATAATTTAATGACAATATAAACAGCATAGTTTTGTTATTTTTTTAAAAGACTAAAGCAAACATGATTTAAAGCTAACAAAAGCTACTGTGACATCAGTTTGACATTCAAAGTTTGATTCTTAGCAAAACGGCCAAAGGTATCTTGCCTTGATACAGAGTATATAATATAAAGACTTTTAGACCTAAAAATCTTCAAACATTATTTGAATTTAGCAAAACATAAGCAAAATTTTCATATCAAAGTGCTAAACAGTGCTGCCTTAAAGGTCACTGCAAATGAAGGATAAAATAATGGTGTGGGAAGTGATATTTATTGTACAAATGGTTAATAAAAAGACACATTATAAATATATATATGTAACCTGCTATGTTTATATATATATGCTTATTTAATTTCTAATTGGTGTATCCAAGTCACCACAAACACCCCATTTGATTATTCTGTAACTAAGCCTCCAGGAGCTGGTGGTCTTGCAATAAATACAGGCAAAGCTATTACAATATAACGTGCATACAAATGCTCATACAAATAAGGACACTATGCAACAAATTATTTCATAATAATATGGCATCAACAGTAGAAACATATAAAAGGGGGCACGAACACGGAATGTTGAACTGCAACCCACTAGTACTCACGTTAATACTATGTTTTGTTTTTTTAAAAAAGATGATTCACTTGCTTTCCAAAATTGTCTCTTTAACCAGTAACAAAAATTAAATTATATATATATATAAATCATTATCACCTCTGGTGCTTACCCTGTATGACCCAGTTCCTGCTTATTTGCATGTTCTCCTTGAAGGGAAGCAAACGATTGATTTACCCAACACTCCTTGGGCTTCTGAATGGATGTGCCAGAAGCTGCTACAAACGTAGTAGGTTTAGAGAACTGTGTCCAGGTTGATAGAAAACAGTGAACGCAGTTGTGTGCAATCCATTTTATAACCTGATCCCCTTCAGGACAGCTGGGTAGTCATCAGGGGGCAAATTCCATCAAGAACGGCCTGAAAGTCTTAGAGGGGCCACCCCTCCAAAGGGTTCTACAGGGCAGGCGGATCAAGCCTTTGTAAGAAAATGGGGTGTCATTTGCTAACATGACTGCCTCCTTATTGTCATATAAAGTAAGGGAGAGTTCACAAACAAGACTTAGTAAGACAGCACTTTAAAAAATTGCACTTGTATATGGAAGCAAACAGCCATTATTTTGCTAAGTCTGATTTGTAGACAGTCTTCCATCTTTTGTCATTTTTTTTTAAGAAGAAGAAATGAAGAAAAGGGAGTTTTCTGCCTTGCTTGCTTGGCGTAAGTACCCTTGATACAGGAAGTACATCCTAAAGGGGTCAGTCTTAAGACACAGCCTACCCTGGTGAACAGCCCTTGGCTGTTCGTGTTTTAGATACAAAGCAATCATAATTGTATTCCCCAGAAAGAGTTTTAAACAGTTATATTATCCTTTCTCCCCTGCTGGGATAGCATCATCCAAAAGTGCTTTGTCAGCAATTTCTTAGAAAAGCCTCATGAACTATATACCCCCTCCCACCCCACCCACCAAAGCCTAAATACAAAACACAACCCCAACACAATACTCTGCAAGGTTTCTGGCTTTAGGTTGTAAGGAAAGGCGCCAGGAAAAACAAAAACAAAAACAAAAGTCTTTGCTTTCTGTGGGAGCTGCTTTTCCCCTGAAGAAAGGACAGAGTGGCGGGCGCTCATCAGACCATCCTTTCGCTAGCTTAATGATCAGATGCCAGCAGAGCACAGGCTTCCTTGCTCAGAAGGGCAGGGTGTCGAGGAAGAGCTTGTCGATAATCGAAGGCGGGGCCACCAAGTCCTCCAGCTTCAGGTAGAAGATGCGCTGGAGGCCCTGGGTGCAGATCTTCCTCAACTCCACCAGTGCACGAAGGACCTTGGGCTCGGAGGGCTCTGGGGCCTGCCCCTTCCTCTGGTGGTCCTTTAAGCTGCTCGTGATCCTGTTACACAGCTCCTCCACTCTCTTTGGTTCTTTTAACCCATGTCGCTCTGCAGAAGGACAGAGGAGGGTAAGTTCGGGGGGCGGGTCAAAGGGCACTAACAGTTCTAATCAAGGTCTTTCCCCTTTTCTGCCAGGCGGGTTAGGCATTTGACAATCAGAATGCCCTTTGTGGACCGGGGTAGCTCTGTCAGGTCCTGCTTTTGATTCCTGAGAACCGCCAGGTGTGGTGGCACATGCTTACAGTCCCAGCACCCGGGAGCACCCCGAGACTTGTTGGCCAGCCAGTATTGTCTACTTGGCCTGGCACAGGAAAGTGAGTTAACTTTCTGTCCTGAAGCAAGAGGGAGCCGTTGATGCGAGCCCCTCAAAGCCTGATCCTGTGTCCCCATGCTAGCTGGTTTTGGGAAAAGCAAGCTTTCCTTTTGTTTCTTCAGAACACTCACTGACTCAGGCCTGGCACTCTGCTAGGAAACACACAGAGGTAGAGCAGGAAATTTCACAGCAGAGAGGGGGAGAGGGCAGGGAGACACGGAGCAGGCATTCATCACGATACAGAGAGCACCCCTTACTTCCACAAAACTATACAGAAAAGTATTCCCATGTTGACCATGGGGATCTTTCTGGTAAAGCTAGTGATGGTCTCCGCCCACAGTTGCAAAAGGCTGGTGCCTGAAGCCCATCTTCCAGGCAGCTTGTTCTCTGGCTGAAAAGCTCTGTTGGGTCTCACTGTGATGACACAGGAGCCAAACATTCCATTCAAGAGACTTTGCTCTCACAGTCTGTGTAGAACAGAACCTCTTTTCTATGGGAAGATTGGAGTCTCCTTCATGCCAGTTTTGCTCTATTGGTGTATTTATATCTAAAAACCCTGTGTGTGTGTGTGTGTGTGTGTGTGTGTGTGTGAGTGTGAGTGTGTGTCTGTTATTAGAAATATACTATTTCCCTAAAGCAAAAGCTAAAGCTTTTTCTTTATTGTCACCCAAAGAGGAGGCTTGTAAACCGGGAAAACTGTCTCTGTGTGGCTGGGGTATATGACTTGGGCAAGCACTTTCCTCACTAGGGTCTTACTAAGGGAGAAGGCTGGAGTTAAGGGTCCCTAAAGCCCCCTCCAGAGCTGATGGGTCAAGATGTATTTAAGTACAGCAGGGAAATCACTCCTAGGGTCTCAGTGGATTGTGGCTTGCAGGTTTTTGGTCTAGAGAAGTGTTCTCTAGAGAAGAAGCCTGGAGTTTGGAAGTGAATCCAGTTCTGACTCTGCCCTTTATCCTGTGGCCCAGTCTCTTCAAGACTCAATGTCTTCCCAGGAAAAAGGGAGTTACAGGGTGGAAAATGCACAGGTCGGAGTCCTACTCTTCCTGTTCATCTTAAACAGTTTGCAGTGAATTGACAGAAGAGTGTGACCATTGTATAATTGTCCCCCAGCTAAGATGATGTTCCAGACGCCAACTGTAGGGTGCTATACACCGGGATAGTCAACGTCTCAGACAATGACTGACGCTTGGTGGGTGGGAGACAGCTGCAAGACCAAACAGAAGACAGAGCCCCAGCACCCCCAAGCTTTGTGGCTCTTGACTTTGCCTGCCCTAGGAAACTATTAGTTGGCTAGCCAGGCGCAAAACTCCCCACTAAATGCATAGGCCCTGTGCTTCAAGCTCAGAAGAAACACTGAGGGTGAACCTTGAGGAATCCCGCTTGCAGTGGCCTCTGCCAAAAGTCTTATTCTATGCCCAAAGCAAAGAACCAGGTGGCAGATTTGGCAGTAAGTTTCAAGAGGTATAAAATGTTCATAGCTCTGACCAAGCTACCCCATTCTTGGGAACTTATCCAAAGAAAGAAAGTCAACTGAAAACAACAACCTTGCATGTATGGAAATATTTGGTGCAGCAGTTATCTATGATAACTCCGCACCCAAGAACCCAAACAAAGGAAACACCGGGAGAGATACAGGGTTGGAGAACAGAGAAACTGTTGAGTAAATCATGGCATGTCTGTACAGTGGAAGATCCTAAAACTACCAGGGATGAGAATGAAGGTTATTAAACAAGATAGAAAAATATAAATAACATTAAAGGGAGAAGAGAATATTAAACAGTGCCCAGGCTGTGATTGTGCTAATGCTGGAAATCTGGGGGTGATGAGATGAGCAGGTAACAGTACCCTGGGCCGACCCTGGTGCTCTGAGTTCAGTCTCTGGCCTCCACTCCATGGGAGGAGAGAGATGGACATGCATTCACACACAAACACAGAATAAATGTGTCTTTTTCCCCCTTCACTTAAAGGATGGAAAGGAACAACATGGGAAAATACTCTGAGATAAGTGGATGTCTCTCTTCCCTTTCTTTTAACATTCCTAGGTTGGTGATACTTGCAGAATAATGTTAAAATAGAAGAAGGTGGGAGACAGTCCTTCGTGAAGCCCTGTCGTACGTGTGTCACGGTCGAGCCCTGGCTTGCTGACGTTAAATTCTATTAGCACTGAGATACATTAAATCTGATTTACAAGCTCGGGAGAGGAGGTGCCTCTCACCATCAACGGCCGGTCCATTAACCGAGGCTTTCCCATCCTTCCAGGACTTCCAGTCTCACAGAGCATTCAAGATCCCACACTCATTACTAGGATGAAGAAACTGAGCAATTTGTCGGGTGTGATGCGGGAGGGGGGTCGATTGATCGTGGGACCTTAGAGCCAGACTTTCTCATGGCCAAACTCACAGACGGGAGCACGGAGTTTTCTCTGCTCTCCAGCCAGTCTCGGCTGCTCAATAGCTGTGGCAACCATTATTTATTCAGCGAATTGAAGTGGAGATCGATACCTCCTGCCAGCTGGATCAACCGGGCCTGGAATTCCTTGAGGAATTCATAGACACTCCTGTTAGGAGCCAAAGGCACCTCTCTCCTTTTTAGTTGCTGTGAACACTCAGAGGATCTGTGGCTTCTCTAGTTTTCCATAGGAGCTAAGACAAAATTCAGTCTCTGTGTATACTCCTGCCAGCAGCATGCAAGGGGTTCAGATCACCAGGGAGTCACCAAGTGTCTGGAACCTTCTCAACAATTTAAAATTCCTTAAAATTCTAATCACTGACATTTAGTTGAAGGGACACCCTCCAACCCCCACCCCCTTTGCAAACTGGCAAACAGCTACAGAGCTGAAATCCAGAGTTCATAAATACAGAGGGAGAGGGGGAGTCAGATACTTGGATTTTCTCCTTTTCTAGAGAATTACGGGTGGAAGATTAAGCTTTTTCTGGGCAGGAGGGTTGCAGCTTGGTGGTAGAATACTCTCCTGGCATTGTGATGTACTGGGTAGGATTCTCAGCAATGAAAATAAAATTTCCCCTATAATTTGACCCAACAAACTTTTTGCATTGGATATATACAATATTCATCCTGCCTCTCGGTATTTTAACTCAAGCATTATGTTTCCAAGACGTCAAAACAGAATTCATAGTCATGGTTAAGTATTAGTAGTACGTCACAAACGTTGTGTATGTACATTGGAAGGGATTTGATCCTCTCCGTTTAAATTCCCACCTAAGAGAAGAATGTCCACTACAAGGCACTACAAAACCAGAGTCAGGTTCCAGCTAGACTGACAGATCAGTCATTTCAATCTGCTGACACACTTGCCCTTACATTATACTCTCTTTCTTAGATTATTTTAGCTCAGAAAGAGACAGGAAAATCTGTTATCTTTAATTAATATGTAAGACGACTCAAAGAGTTGAGTGAAATTCACAAGTGGCTAGTTTCTTTCAAACCAAATCTGAGAGAACCTTGCTCACGGCCTGATAGCTTATCGGCCTTCAACTGCCTTTACTGTTAATAAGTTTCTCCTCATTCTGACATGAACTCTGATATAGCATCCTCTTACTTTCTGTGTACCTAATTAACTAGTGGCTAATTACTTCTTTCGATGGATGTTTATTAAGTAGCTAGTCTGTGGCAACCGTGCTGTAGACAGGGGGTCCGAGCAGTGAAAAAAACAGCACACTCTACTGGTGGGGCAGTTCTTGTCTAAAGACAAGGTTGGATTCCCTGTTCCTGTTAGCCATCCACGTCACAGGTGGCTCTGCTGGGCAGGAAGAGGGCAGGAGGGAGTGGAGGGAAGGTAGGAGGAGAAGAGGAAGGAGGAGAGGAGGGGGAAGAAGAGGGGAGGAGCGGAGGGCGGGTGGGTTGATTGAGTGAAATAATGAGACACTTAAGTCTATGCTCCTGCTCTCCCCCTGCAGCTAGTTAAGATTCGCTCATATCACATCCAACACCCCGTCAAGGAAACTTCCTTCTTGGCTCTTAGTCTAGGAGGTCAGATTCTCTTATAATACAGGATCCTCTCCCTTCCCAGGATGTGCAAGTTTGAAATCTGACATTCATGTGACAATGCCTACCCCTCCCATTGGATTTAAGCTCCCTGGGAGAAATGATGCCCTATATTTGCTAACTGTGGTCCCATGTCCTGCGCCAACCCTAGCACATCAGGGACACCTAATATGCATCTGACAGATGAATCTGTAGGATGGAGGACCGAAGTCATCTAAGGAATGATTAAACAAACACTACATGTGGAAGTTGCTCAGATTAAAAGGAGGAGTTGGGGGTTGCTGAAACGCTCGCTCACAATAGTAGGGACTTTATAAACTCTCAGACTTCCCATGCAGAAACTCTCTCTCTGCGCCTCTCAGCTCTGTCAGCCATTAGCTGGGTGACTTTGGGTCTGTTTCCACTCTTGGGAAAGAGGGCAAAAATGGCAGCTGCCTCTTGTCTTGCTGTGAGAAGTAACCGATCTTTACATGCAGAGTACTTGGAATAATACCAGGCATATGGTAGGCACTTAATAAATACTTGCAAATACTCTCTGTATTTAAAACTCAATTCATTCCCTTCCATGTTGGCCATGGCTCTGAGTTCATCTGCATGGAAATCTCCCCCAGACTCTTCTGGGGATCCCTTCTCGGGGGCCTATTTAATTTAGCCTGTCCCGGTAACTTCAGTTACTCTCTGTGTGGTGTTCCTTGCATCTGCGTTCTTTTCTCAAGTCCAACTTCCTCTG